CCCAGCCACTCTAGGGAAGAGCCTGTCCGAGGAGATAGCAAGTGTCCAGGCTCTGGACACTGCATGATCTGCCAGCAAGCCAGTGAGGCTGGACTGGAGAGAGCAGAGTATAGTGATGAGGTCACAGAGACAGGCTGGCAATTGGGGAGGAGAGCCTGGGAGGAGTAGGGTTGATATTGTAAGAATCATGGGAAGCCACTGGAATCTTTAAAGCAGGAAAGTAATATGGTCTGATACACACTTTAAAAATGTAACTTTGGACCAGCTCTGTAGCGCGGTGGTAAAGGGAGTCAGATCCTATGTGGCTGACAATGGTTCAAATCCTGTCCCTGGAGGTTTGAAAAACATGGCCATGCATGCCCAAAGTCCTGAGAGAAGGGACTGTGGTATGGCCATCCCCCTGGGGGATGATTTCTTACTTTCCCTTCTCTCTGTCTCTCTGCCAAGTGCTTGTGCCCTATGGCAAAAATTTAAAAAAAGAGAAAATAGATGTACAATCTTGTTTTGCTTAACAAGGATATAACCTGAGAAATGTGCAATCAGACAGATGTGCAAATATCATACAGCGCACTCACAAACCTAATTGGAATAGCCTATTATATACTGAGGCTATATATATGGTATAATCTATTGTCATCTTTAAAACTTTTTTTTTTGTTGGGAACCAGCAGTTAGCGTAATGGCTATGTCGCTGGACTCCCATGTAGTCGACCGTGGTTCCCGTCCCAGACCCGGTGGCTTAAAACTCACACCGGGCGCGTGTGCATGTGTGCCCAAGATCCTGAGAGGAGAATGGAGGAGAAGGGATTGCGGCGTGACCATCCCCTCTGGGGGGTGATTTCTCGCTTTCTGTCTCTCTGTTTCTCTCTGTCTGTCTGGCGAGCGCATGCGCCCTATAGCAAAAACCTCTCAAAAAAATTTTTGTTGTTGTTGTTATTTTTCAGTTTGCTGTAGGGCATATGTGTTTACCAGAGAGACAGAGAGAAAACAGGAAAGTGAAGAAGCAATCCGCCAGGTCTGGGACTTGAACCATGGTTGACCTTGGGGGATCCAGTGCCTTTACTACTACGCCACCTGCTGGCTCCACCTATTGTTCTCTTAAGGGACTCCTGTCATATATACATTCTGACATGGACTGAAACATTGTTATACAGTGCTGTGTATTTGTGTATATACACATAAACATGTATCTGCAAACAACAACAAAAATTCACCTCTTACAGTATCATTATTATTATTAACCATTGTTAAATTTTTACATAGAGCCTTCTAAATTAAAGTGTTACATATTGGATAGTTGAAATGAAATAAAATTCAAACTGTGGTCACCAGATGGGATCCAGCTTCTCTTGAGCAACATACTACCTTTGAACCACAGATCTGACCCAAGGCTCACTCTCTCTCTCTTTTTTTAACCCACATGTATCACTGCAGCATCCAGTTTCCATTCACAAAGAAAAAGCTCCAGCCCATCTTTTAATTTTTTTTTTTTTTGGAGAGGTTTTTGCTATAGGGGATGTGCACTCACCAGACAGACAGAGACATAGAGAGAACTCACCCTCCAGGGGGGATGGCCATGCCACAATCCCTTCTCCTCCATTCTCTTCTCTGAGATCTTGGGCACACATGCACACGCGCCCGGCGAGTTTAAGCCACTGGGGTCCAGGACTCAAACCGCAGTTGACTACATAGGAGTCCAGCAACATAGCCATTACGCTAACTGTTGGTCCCTCATCTTTTAATTTTTTTGAAAAGCTCCTGATATTACAGAACTAAACTGAAATTATTAATATTCCACTCTTAAAATTTTGTGACAGAAAAATTCATGAACAAAAAACAAAACAAAACAGGGTGAAACTTTTAAAGCTAAATATGGATCTCAGCATTAGCAGCTGAAAAGAGAAAGGAATTAAAACATTTTAATTAAAAAATCATGAGTGGATGATAAAGTGTTTAGAAATTGAAAATTTACAGGGGCCAGCATGTGGTGTGGTGGCTAAAGGCGCTGGACTCCCACATGGCCAACTGCAGTTCAAGTCCTGAACCTGGTGGCTTGCTTTCTCACTTTCCCTCTCTTTCTCTGTCTCTCTCTGATCAAACTGAAAAATAGTAATAATAATAATGATGATGATAAATAAAATTAAATAAAATAATTCTTAAAAAAGAAGTTGAAAATTTACAAACTATTTAAAACCTGAAATCGCTGACTCTTCAGAAACTACACAGATGGATCATGGGTGGTGGTGAACAGCATAAAGGGATTATGGCTGAATCTGCATTGTTCTAGCTGCTCCCCATGCCACCCATCTCCGAGGAAAGCCTGACATTGATTAGATACTGAGCCAGGCTAGTGCTGGCATCAAATCCAATGATGGTAACCTGCCCATCTGTGGATCCTTCCACAGGGTTCACAATTTTGATCTACGCCCCAGACATCTGATGGATCTCATTGATTTTGGCACCTTGATGCCTGATGATGCAGCCAATCAAATAATTTGGAATGGCGAGTTCATGTGAAGTAGTCTGAGCAGATGCATCCAAACCTGCCCAATAGCCCTTTCACCTCTAGAGAGCTGGATTCAATGCCACTGAGTCTGGGGTTGCCATGAGTCATAGGAAAATGAGACTGTTGCATTGCCAACTGGAGCAGCTTGGTCAAATCTGGCTGTAGAATGACATACTGTCCTTGAATGGTATAGGCCTCTTGAGGTGGTCCCTCTAGGTCATTGTTGAGGCACACGGTCGGGATGGTGTGGGGAAAGCTTGCACTATCGCTGCCCACACAGGACCTGTCCTGACCACTTGCAAAGATGACTGGAGAACTGGACGGCTTGTGGGTACAGGATGGTCATACCCTTTGGGGGGACTCCAACATGACCACGCAGATCTGTTTGACACACTCAGTGATGGGTTGTGGAATGCCAGCAATAGTGATGGCCTGCTGAGTTGGGGAGCATATCCCCTGCCATCTGGACCTGAGCCCCTGTATACTCTCGAATTTCCTTAATCTTGCCAGCACCACCTTTTCCAGTGAGAGAGCCACACTGACTAGCAGGGGCCATCACCCTCAGCGTAGGGGTCTACTGACAGCTGAGCTACTGGTCATAGAGCCGCTAATGTCCTCTTCCAGTTTGTCAGTGATCATAGCAAAAGCTTTGAAGATGGCATTAATAGGTCGAGCCAAAGTGATTATTCTCTCAGGGCAGTTCCCTTCTGACATGTTGATACGTGCACCACTCTCCTCGGCATCAACCAATTCTCCTTTCTTTGTGATGATACTGCCAACTTCCTTGCCATGCATAAGTAGCTGGATGGTGAGAGTGACATTTAATCCACCTTCAAGCACACTGGTGTCCATGTCTAGCAGTGTTTTGGGAAGCTGGACTTGGAGTGGCCAAGCTTTTGGTCACTGGTGGGGGTGAAACCCCAAAACTGCAGGTGCAAGGCCACTGGGGGGGGAAAGGGGAGCGGGCGGGAGGGGAAGAGCCCAGGTGGAACAATTGGGCAGGCAAAGGAGGAAGAAGGAAAGAGACCCTGTGGCAAGCGGGAGAGGGTGCAAGCTCCAGCTGCTGCCTCTGCTGGTGTGGACCCAAGGCTCTATTTAAAAAAAAAAAAGGGGGGGGGAGGCAAGCCGGGGGCATGGTAGTTGGGGCACTGGACTCCCATGTGGCCCACCACTGAGTCCTGGACCTGGTGGCTTGCTTTCTTTTTCCCTTTTTCTCTCTGTGCTCTCTGGTTAATTTTTTAAAAAAAATCTTCAAAACCAACAATCTTCTGTCATTCTGTTTTGGTGGAGGAGATGAGAAATGCTGGGTTTCATTTCTGGCATGTAACTGAAAGCTGTGGATGACTTATGTGGAAAACAGCATGTTTACCATCTCCTTTTCTGTTGTAGTGCTGGTGGGGATGTGCACATCGAGCCCCAGTATAGACAGTTCCCCCAGCTGACCAGATACCAGGTGATCCTGGGTGAGGTCTTCAGTGGGACCATGTGGTTCTGGATTCTCTGGCGCCTGTGGCATGACTCAGACGCTGTGCTGGTAAGTGCAGAATAGTGCTTGTCCTTTTGGGAAAGGCGGGGGGAGATAATAGCTCGTTTGTAGACCATTCTTATATCTGGATATCACCACCATGTTGTCTGTTTGTATGCTCAGGAGTCATTATGTTTTTATATTTTGCCAGAGGTCATGTGTGCTTTTTTTCCTTTTAAATTTTGCCAGGAGGGGTGAGAAAGAGAGGGAAAGCAAGAAATTACCCCTCATGGGGCATGGTCATGCCATAATCCCTTCTCTCACATCTCTTCCTCCTTTTGGGCATGCATACACATGCACCTGGAGTGTTTTTCAAGCTGCAGGGTTTAAGACTCAAACTGCATGGTTGGCCATGTGAGATACAATCACCTTAACCAGCTAGCCACAGTTTGGTCCGAAATCCTATTATTTAATGAGACATGTTATCTTCTGATCATTTTTACATGAGGATGTACATTTCGGTGGTCTATCATGTATTTTTAATGAGGTTGTCAGATCTGGAAGAGAGACTATAAACTAATTATTTTACCTTCCAAACTAGTGGTTAGTTGGTAAGGTTCACACTTAAATTCCTTTAAACAATGGATGTCATCTCGTTTGTCCAGAGGCCCAGAGCAGGTTTGGGTGAGATGGATGTGAGCGGATTTGTCTTAAGGAGAGAAGTTAGTTGTTGGTAACTTCCTAAGAGCCTCAATTGAGCTTTTATTACATTTACATAGACTCTGTTCTCCAGGAAATTTTACCTCTAAGGATCTGTGCTTGTCAATCCAGAATTCTTTGTATTTTAGGAAGTTTGGATTTGTTTCCAGGATACGGGGAAACATACAGCATACAAGTTTTGAAAGCGTGAGGTTGCTTGATATCCCATTTCTCTTAGACCTGCTCTGTGCTCTTGTTCCCCACTAATGAGCTGCTTAGATATTGGTGAACTGGCAGCATACTTACTATTTAAAACACTCCTGTTTTTATTTATTTATTTATATTCATATATATATGTATATATATATATATGAAAGAGAGGTTTTTGCTATAGGGTGCGTGCGTGCCCAAGATCCTGAGAGGAGAATGGAGGAGATTGCGGCATGGCCATCCCCCCGGGGGGTGATTTCTCGCTTTCTGTCTCTCTGTCTCTGTCTGTCTGGTGAGCACACGCGCCCGATAGCAAAAACCTCTCTCTCAAAAAAAAAGAAACTAGAAATGGAAAATTATTGACGATAACATGCATGATTAAGCCACCATGCAGTATGTTCTGGATGGGAAATCATATTTTGTATGTTGTGACGATGCTTAGGGAATAAATGTAAGTTAATTAATTAAAAGAATGTTTTAGAAAAATAATTAAAAGCTTATGGAAATATGTGTAATGGGAAAACTATGTATGAATTTCAAAAAGGTTCTTTTTTTTTTTTTTGGAGAGGTTTTCGCTATAGGGCGCGTGCGCTCGCCAGACAGACAGAGAGAGACATAGAGACAGAAAGCAAGAAATCACCCCCCGGGGGGATGGTCACGTCGCAATCCCTTCTCCTTCATTCTCCTCTCGGGATCTTGGGCACGCACGCACACGCGCCCAGCGTGAGTTCTAAGCCACCGGGTCTGGGACGCGAACTGCAGTCGACTACGTGGGAGTCCAGCGACATAGCCATTACGCTAACTGCTGGTTCCCAAAAAGTTTTTGTACCAAAATAAACTCATACTTTATTGTAAAAAATAACATAAAAATAAAACACTCCTGTTTAATTGGAGGTCAGTTGTCAGGAGTATATATAGTGGTTAGGTGTGACATGATGCAGCCAGATAGACCTTGAGATCAGAACTGAAGATGATGAAGTCCATCTGAGATTTCCAGAACTCACAGAAGTAAAAACAGAAGTTTGAAATGTTTTTTTTTTGTTGGGACTTGAAGACATTATTGAGATGTGGGCTATCTTTGCAATCTGCTGCCTCCATTCTCCCTATCATCCATCACAAACATACTGTGGGCTTAGGCTGGTACTTCCGAGATGCGGGGACTTTCAAAATTCAGGCCACTGCCCACAGTGAACAGATTGAACAGCTGAACAGTAGTTGAAGTAGAATTTGTTCCTGTGGTATGTCAAGGCTGTGTATATGGCAGTTAGCCTTATCTTGTTTTCCTTCTTCCAAGATTTCTTTTAGGATTTGATTAGTTGCATGGAGTATGGGTTTTTGACTTTTTTCTTTTAAATGGTTGTCACCAGGGTCACTTCCCATATCCAGATCCTTCCCAGTGGACAGATGAAGAATTAGGTATCCTCCCTGATGATGAAGACTAAAAGCACAGACTCAACTCTTTACAAGGGGGTATGCCCCAAGTTCCAATTTTTTTTTTTTGAAAGTCGCATTTATCTTGTGACAAACACTTGTTTGGACTTTGATAGTCTTGAAGAAATGGAATGTTCTAATAGCATGAGACACAATGAACTATGTCATGTGTCTAATTTCTGCCTTAGTTTCACATTTGCTGCCCCTGACCCCTTGGTCTCATTTTTTTTTTTTGGAGAGGTTTTTGCTATTGGGTGCGTGCACTCACCAGAAAGACAGAGACAGACAGAGAGATAGAAAGCGAGAAATCACCCCCCAGGGGGAATGGCCGTGCCGCAATCCCTTCTCCTCCAGGGATCTTGGGCATGCATGCACACATGCCTGGCATGAGTTTAAGCCACTGGGTCTGGGACTTGAACCGCAATTGACTACATGGAAGTCCAGCGACATAGCCATTACGGCAAATGCTGGTCTCTCATTTTCTTTTCATCATATATTTTAATAAATGATTTCTTCCTAAGTTAGGTCACAGTTAGGGTCTCATTTACCCATCCATGTTCAGGAATATGGTGGTGAACAAGACAGATAAGGAGCTTACAGTATATAGTTGCTAAAACAGTGACATACTTCTCAGCCTTTAAATAGAAACATCCAGCATACTAGAATGTTACCATGTAGAACTGTATGGAAATTAACTTTTTAAATAGTAAAAGTTTATAGTCTTTTCATTTCCCAGGTTAGGGAGTGAAGAATTTTTCCTCTTTCAAAAGGAAGGTGGTAGGAAGAAGATTCACTTTCTCCACAGAGCCTTCAGGGGTTAAGACATTGCCATTTAACATGTTTTAAAATAAATTATTGCACTTAATAATCACTATCGTTCAAAATGCTTGGGAAGTTGCATTAGAATAGGAAGCATTAGGACCAGCAGATGGCATAATGGCTACATCACTGGACTCCCGCATTGTCAACTGTGGTTCAAGTCCCAGACTCGGCAGCTTAAACTCACATTGGGAACGTGTGCGTGTGTGCCCAAGATCCTGAGAGGAGAATGGAGAATTGCAGAGTGTTCATCCCCTCTAAAGCAAAAACCTCTAAAAAAAAAAAAAAAAAAAAAAAAAGAATAGGAAGCATTAAATGATAGTTAAGAGTTCCCATTCACATATATTATTTCCATTATAATATGAATTGGCATTTCCATTATAATATTAATTAGCAGTAGCTTATTGACATGAAAATTAGAAGAGTTTTGGTGGGCTGTAGGAAGGAGCATGAGATAAAATTGCATTAAACAGCGAGCAGTGAAGCTATAGTACAGTGTATTTTGTGTCTGGCTTTGTTTAGGAACTTTCAGAAGTCCCAGTCCTTACCAGGCCCCCTCCTTCCTCTGTATTGACATGTCTTCCAATACTAATCACTGGACTGTTTTTTTTTTTTTTTTTTTTTTTTAAATCACTGGACTGTTGACAGGAAGGGTGCTTTTGCTTCTGTCCTCTACAGGGCCGCTCACATGATCAATGCTCAGTAAATGCTTAAATAATTGAATAAACATGAGTTATGGATGTTTTCTATTACATTTTGAATATAAAAGTACTTAAAGCTTTCTGCTTTTGTTTTCCTGCAGGAACCAGGTGAGAATTTCAAGAAGTTATGGACTTCATGTCTTACATTAAAGTTTTAAATTAAAGCGGTTTGTTCACGAATGAAGAACTGAGTTGTGACTGTTTCTGATAAAGACAGCCATCCTTTGTGGATTATTTCTTGTATTCATCTGTGCTGCTAAGTGGTTTACATGCCTCTCAGCTGTCCTCTTGGGTACTCCCTGATGTAGATAGGTGTTAACTCCCTTTAGCAATGAGGACATCAAGGATCAAGGAGATGAATTACTGCTAGCATCACACACTGGTAAGTAATGAGGTCAGGTCTTTGTTCAGAGCTGACGCTTACCTACAGTGCTGTCTTGCCTCTTTAGCCATGTGTATGTACATTGACAGTTAATGTGGATTCTTGCCGAGTATGGAGACATCAGAAGTCAGTGTGGTCCACTTACTGTTTAAGTACCTCCCGTGAGCTGAGCATTGTGTAGAGTGTTAACCATTCATGTAATGCCTAAATTACACTTCTGCCTAGGAAATCTTAGGGCCGGAGGAATGGGAGACAAGAGTTTGCTGAAACTGATTCCTATGGAGAAGACTTTAGTGGGGTTATCATACTTGAGTTCACTGTTGTAGATTCTGCTCTTCCCAAAAAATCTTAATTAGGGGACCAGCAGATGGCATAATGGTTACATTGCTGGACTCCCATATAGTTGACTGTAGTTTGAGTCCTGGACCCAGCAGCTTAAAACTCATACCTGGTGCATGTGCGTGTGTGCCCAGGATTCCAAGAGAATGGAAGAGAAGGCATTATGAGGTGGTCATTCCTCCAGCAGGGTGATTTCTTGCTTTCTCTCTTCCCCTGGCAAATGCACATGCCTTATAGCAAAAATCTAAAAAAAAAGAAAAAAAACTATTGGGGAGCAAGTAGGTGGCGTGGTGGTTAAATCTGCGTGGCTCGAGTGCTGAATTTGGCAGCTTGAAAATCATGCTGGGCTATGTATTCCTAAATGGAGACTGGAAAAGGGACTGCAGTGTAGCCATCCCTGCTAGTGGGGGCTGGAGAGAGGTGAGTTCTTTCTCACTTTCCCTCTCTCCAAAAAACTAAACTAGCTAAAAATACTAAAAGGCAAACAACAGTTTATTGGTATATTGGGGTTGGAGAGAAAAACAAAAATGAGACCTACAAAGTATAAAAATCTGGTGGCTTGTAAAGCCCTTAAATACTTTTTTAAAATAGAATTTATTTAATTTTATCATTATTTTAAAATTTTGCTACAGGGTATGTGTACTCACCAGAGACAGAGAGAGAGGGTGGGTGGGAGACAAAAAGCAGTCAGGTCTGGGACTTGAACCACAGTTGGCCATGTAGGAATCCAGTGCCTTAACCAGCACACTACCTGCAGGCCCCCTTAGGTATCTCTTTATTGGCTGAGACAGCTCACGCTTACACAGATGAGTTAAGACAAAACCAGGGAAATGTCTTCCATACCCCTTGCAATGGGCATAGGACTTTGGGCCTGGCAGTGGGGGAGGAGGCAACTGTTCCACTCACGTCAGCTTTTGCTGCCACTGTGCCCACTGTGACAACTGAAGAGAGCCAAAGGGAATGGAAACCCAACGACAAAGAATCACATTGTATCACACAGGCTTTAAAACCTGCCAAAGGTTGCTAACTGTATTTAACATAAAGTGTGGGTCAGCCTGTGGCCTGGTAGTGAAGGGAGCTAGATCTCATATGGCTGGCTGGTTTGTGCTTATGTCTGCCCCAGATCCCAACAAGATGACGGAGTGAAGGGACTGCCACAAGACCATGGCTCTTTTGGGGGTGCTTTCTCCCTCTCCCTCCTTGTCTTTTGGTGAGCACACAAGCACTCTATGGCAAGAAAAAAAATTTTAAAAAGGGAAAAGGCTGGAGGCTGTTGTGGCTTCCACATATTATAAAATCTTCTCTCTGCTTGAGGCATGTGACCTACAAGTGGATACTGGAAAGTGGAATGAGCCTCTACCGTGTGTGGGGAAATACTTCGCCTCTACCGTGCGTGGGAAAATACTTCAGTGGGAGAGGGTTCCAGAGAGATGCTGAATACAACATTTGACCTATATGGCAAGAGATAGTTAAAAGAAATAGTTTACTTAGGCTCTGGAGTCAGATTTGCTGGGTCTGACTCAACTTTACCATTTTCTTGCTGAGCCTGAGCAAAGCGCTTATTTTGAACTGTGCCTCAATTTCCTCATTCAGAAAACAGATTAAATGAGTTAACAATGTAAAGCTCTTAGAACTACATCCAGCACGAAGGAAATGCCAAGTGGAAGCAATTGTTTCTAGACCACTGGGTCTAAGCTAAGTTTATATGACCCTGGAATCTTCGTTTAATTTTAATAGAAAAACCTCCATATGGAGAAAGACTTAAGCTGTAAACAAATATTCCAACAAACACACCCCTTTCCGGTCAAAAAACAAACTAAAGCAGGACAGATTTATGTTACTGCTTCTCTCTTCCTGATGAGTAGCTTAAAGTACAAAGTAAGTGGAGAGATGTGCGTCTGTAAACGAAGAGAAATGGTGAAGGTATTGTTGATGGCAACACATCATTTTTAGCACACATTTGTAACTTGACTAGTTTGCTATAGAACCTTTAACGTAAATACCATAATTGTCTAATAAAGTTATGAGATGAGAGGTACTATCTAAAGAACACCTTATATCCATGTCATTGGAAGATACATCCTGATTCTATTTGTCCCTAGAACTATTTTCTAGTAGAAGCAGGGGGCCCTCCTGCCTGCTGTCAGTCTCATCAGGAACATCAAGGGACACCAGTGTGCAGAGTTCAAGGAAACTGGGAGCAGCCTGAGCTGTGGAGGCAGGGCTTTTGCCTTTTATCACCTGCACTAAGCTGTAGCTTACCTGATTGGTGAAGACAGCAGGGACAAGTGGAGTCTGCTTAGCACAACATCCATTTCCAGCTACAAATTTCACTGTCATGAAGCAACACCCATTTCTAACCAAATTTCATTACAATCATGACCCCAGACAGGAAGTCCAATTAACATAGCCTTTGATAAAAATTTCAGTAGTAGTATGGTAGAGTTCTTGCATCCATAATCCTAGCCTAAATTTTAAGGAAAACCTCTTACATAGTATTAATACATTCTTAAAAATAAGGCCATAATTACTCCATTGTATTCATGTATGGGGGTTATTCAAAAAACAAGTTTCTAGAGGCTAGCAGGTGGTGTGATTAAGGCACTAGGCTCTCACATGGCCAACCGTGGACCTGGTGGCTTCGCTTTCTCACTCCCTGCCCTCCCATCTCTCTGGTCAAATTATAAATAAATGAAATAAACCATTCCTTAAAAAACAAAAGTTTCTGTAATATACAATTCATTTTCTAGAGGAGAAAACTACAGTGCAAGGCTGGCCCCATAGCCTAGTGGTTAAGCAAATCAGGTTCCTTATGGATGACAGTGGTTCCAATCCCAGCCCTTAGTGACTTGAGAAAACATGCCAGATCCATGTGCATGTGTGCCCCAAGTTTTGACAGGATGGATTAATGGGGAAGAGACTGCAGCACACCTCACCGGGGGGATGCTTTCTTTTCCTATCTCATCCTGTCAAGCACATGGGCCCTTTTGCAATGAAAAAACCCCAAAATTATAGTTAAGAAAAAAAACTTGACAGAATTGTATGGTTAGGGAAGAGCACGAGGGCACGAGGACCAGAAGCCAGACTCTTCAAACATGGGTCCTCTTGAAGCCTTTTGTTCTTTGTATTCTTATACATAGCCTTTCCAGATGAATTTTTAAAGCTGTTTACCTTTCTTCTGGAGATGTTATACAGTGACTTGCTGTATTCTGTCTGAAGACTTATGAGGTGTTTTCAAACTTCTGATCATGAATTCACATGCATGAAATCAATTTACTGGTATAACCAGCATTTAAAAAAATGAAGTAGGGGTTGGGCCCCAAAGTACAGCAGTGAAACCTGTGCATAAAAAGTTGGATCCCGGGACACAAAAACAGATGATTATCTGATAATAACGTGTACAGTACCTTCAACTGAACTGGGGTGAAGTGTATTCGTGCTAGGTAAATTCACTTTACAAGCCAAGTGATGTATAGTGACTGAATATATAAAATAAAATTAAAATTAAAAAAAAAAGCTGGATCTGACATGGTGGACTGTGAATCTGTGTAAAAAACACAGCAGGTGCACATGTATGTCCCCAGTCTCAATGGGATAGAGAAATGGAGGAAAAACGACCGTGCCATGACTATGCTCCATTGGGAGTTGCTTTCTCGCTTGCTCTCTGGGGAGCGTATGTGCCCTCTGGCAGTAAGAAAAATTTAAAAATGAAGTAGTGCATAGTTGACTACTTCATGCATTCTAAGTTGTGTCAAAACAGTTTGAAAAAATACAGTTCTCATGTGAATTTCTGAAAAAATACAGTTCTCATGTGAATTTCTAAGTTTTGTTTTGTTACAGGCACGTGTGCTCAATCAGAGGCGGAGAGACAAGACAGGGAAAGTGAGAAATCATCCCACAGGGAGGATGGCCATGTCACAGTCTCTTCTCTTCCAGTCTCTTCCCAGGATTTTGGGCACACACGTACATACACCAAATGTGATTTTCAAGTTGCTGTGTCCAGAACTCGAACCATGCAGCTGTTCATGTAGTATCCAGTGTCTTGACCTCCACGCCACCTGCTGGTCACAAGATAAACTTTTAAAATGACTAAATTAGAGCACATACTTCAATGGGAACAACAGGGAGGAGAGTAGTCAACTGAAACTAAAGATACACCTTGAGGGTCAACACCAATACCTGACAAAAGACTGTTACCACTACAAGATCTTCAGTTTATATAATGTGCCAGGCACGAATCTTGACAACCTTACAAATTCTACTCACCAAGTGGTAATCAACATTATGTATGAGACAAAATGTATAGTTCTCAGTCCCTCTGTTATTTGAACTAACTGCCAAAGCCGCTGCCTTTGAATGTAGTGGGACAGGAAAAATAATACTCGATAAAGACTTCTTCATGCAGTCAATCTTTATTATAGCAATATTCGCATATTCACATCAAGTACGTAGAACTTTTTTTGCCTTTTATATAATACAGTTTTTAAATAACTTTACACAGAAATAAATTTCTTCAATCTGAATTTCAGCTATCTTTTTAAAATTTAATTCTCCATGCTTTCTATCCAAACTGAACAATATTTTCCATTATACAAATTTACATGAGAAAAACTCCAAAGTACAAATGAAGGGACCTGAGCAGGAAAGAGAACCAAAGTATCAGGAAGTGGGTATGGGGAAGAATTAAAAAAAAGTCAAGCAAACAGGATTAAGGGACAAGAGAGAGACATCATCCATTTGACTGAAAATAAATGTCTTTTTTCATGAATTGAAAAATAAGCTTTAAAAATAGTTACTCCATTGTAATTTTTGCAAAGCAGGTATAGAGAGGTCTGTGGACAATTAAAAAGTCCCTATCTTTTCACTGGGCAAAACCCCAGACTCCATGAGAACCTTTTCAATGCTTGAGTGGAACCGAAGTAAACTAAGCCCAAACCTCTGGCAGTAACAAAGAGGAATGTGTATCTGAATGTCGCCACAAGGTTTGGAGTGCTGAAAAAGCGCCATTTATTAATTCACTGCAGTTCAAACATTAAGTATTTCCCTTCCTTCTCCTGTACAGACTTGTCCTCAAACCAAGGAGTACATGAAAGGGGTGAAATTCCATTTTATTGGTCTAAACCAAAGAGCAATCACAAATATTGAATAAAATTCAGAGACATAATGTTGAGGATGGTAAAATTCGACCCCCTGATGAGCTGTATCATCCTGGCTTAGGAGAAGTAGCATTTGCTGAGTGAGGGAAAGATCAGATGTACAAGCAAAAAAGGAGATTACCACAAATACATATCACTGTGATACAGTCTTCCAATCAGGCGGTATAGCGAGGTGGCCAAACCAAGACTGTACCACGTGGCACATCCAAAGGAACAGCGGGCCCAGTGAATGCACTTTCAAATGAAAAAAGGAAATGGTACAGCACGCACGCGCGTGCACACACACACACACCTGTATGTAAACTAATGTAACATGAAGATAAATAAGACACAAAGGTTAGCCACCTGTGTTGGTAATTAACATGAATAAAAAGGCGTTATATGTTTACACAGCTGGTTTTACTCAGCTATGGTACATACAAATGTATTAGGAAGGAATGATAAACTGTTCACAGCTTAGAATATAAAGCACACTTATTGCACTCTTACATTTCATTTCAATTATAGTTTATTTCCCACCCACATAAAATTTTCCCTCTCTAGACTTACTCTCCCACTTTCATTTGGCCCACTGCTCTACATCTGTGCCTGGCCTGTGAGCCTGTTGCTTACGCTAGTTTGCAGTTTTCTCCTATGTAATCCATACTCCACCAAAACATGTAAGGCTTATTAACACACAAATGCAACACAGGGTGACTTTCAAAACAAAACCAGGATTAAGTAGAAGCAACTTACTCAACATCCTCACCCCATCCCTGTAAACAGACACTTCCTTTGCCACATTTCTGTGTGCATTCTGCCCAACCCCGCAGCACACATGCTGTAGATGAGAACCAGTGGTGTAGCAGCTGCATCGTGTACTCGGCCTGCCAGGAGAAGCAGACGGTTTGCACAAAAATAGCTTTTATACTAACAGATAAACATATTGCAGTTCTGTTTTGAAAAGAGAACTTCAATCTATAGAATTCTTTTTAAAAAATGCACAAGAAATGGATACTGGCTGTGTCCTCATGTGCAACTACTAGTTACGTTGTCACAATCAGTCAAAACAGCTTAATAAAAATAAACATTTTAGTGAAGCTGATTTAGTAATTAATAAAATATAACAACTGAAGTTGTGAATGATGAAATAAAGGATCTACTTTAATCACTTCATTGAGGTGAGCACTTACTATCCCGATGGGTTTTTTCTTTTTTTTTTTAAAGCACTGCTACTTTAAGGTTTTAGAATTTTAGTTTCTGTTTTTCCACCTTAAAAGTACCTGATAGAACTTGTTAATTATTCTTTCCACACTTAACAAAAATTAGGACTGCATTTTAATTTAAATGTCCCTGCCCAGACAGAAGTACAAATAGATTACTGGAAAACAATAAAACAAAGCTTACTGTCAAAAGTATTGGTATTAAAAAAACATCTAACCAGTATTTTCAGTTTTACTAGAGCACAGATCATGAATACACTGGCCACCCCCTATGGCCAATCTACAAACCATCATCTCTGTAGGCAGAGATGCCACTACCCTCCTTGGGGACTCAACTACACCTGGGCACGAGGAAACCAGCTCAGAAAAAGGTGTCAAGAATGTGCTGGAGAGACGATACACTGTCTTTCTGCAGGTGGTGAGGAACGAAACAAGATACAAGAACCATTATGTCCAGTTTTACACCCACTGGCCAGGCATTCTCATGAAGGATGCCTTCAGAGACCTGCCCGTCTCAAGTGCACCAGAGCGGGGTTAGTAGCCCACCCAGTTCAGCTTCATTTGCAAACTAGTCCTGGGAGGCAGGTTTACATTTCAAACTGGAAAACCAGTGTCAAGACTGACAGAAGTAGTCTGGAGACTGAGAAAGACAAATTCCATCCTCTATTTGAATCCCCTCCTTTTCTCCGATACACAGGATTGCTGCCCAGCATACAGTACATTGACCCTAAACTACAGCAATTCTTTTTTTAATGTCTGTCAAACATTTCTGCTGTATAAAAGTTCCACGCTTTGAAGAACCTATGGGAGTAGAAAAAGTTTCTCTAGAAATGTCATTGAACTATATTTTCAGCCTAGTTGCTCTATGCAATAAATATATCTGACTACACTAGGGATTATGTGCTTTAAAAAAATAATTTTGTTCACTGAAAATTTACCTGTGTGTTTCCTCATTTTTAAAATGTGAATTTGGCTATAAACTCTTTAGTGCATTTATCTTCGCAGTCTAGACTGCACTCTAAAAAATTTAACAACAGCTGAGTTGAACCAGAGTGGCTGCTCTCTTCACAAATCGCTGATTCCTGCTGAAATTTTAGCTTTTTTATTGCATCATGAAGGCACAGTAAGATCATTTGGCAAATTGTCAAGATATTTTTCTAGAGCCTCACCTACACCATTTCAACGTATGACCTTGTCCCTTCTTCGCTGTTCATACTCACATTAAATTTCCCATCTCTGGCTATGTTTTTTTTTTCTTTTTTGATAGCCTAATGGTTGGAATCTGCTACTCTCAAGGTGTTGATATTCTAGTACTAACAATGCCAACTTGGATGAAGAAGAGAATCTTGCAAAGAGGGTAATCACTTTACCCTCTCAGCTGGGCAGTCTCTCTCGATGGCTATCTGCATGTGACAAAGCTGTGGCTAACTCATTATGAAGATGTGCTGTCTTGCCAAGCCTACTGAAAATTAAAATGGTATCACTGAAGTGAAGTGATACCATAACTAATTTCATACAACTGACGGAAAGGATAAGATTCTGAAATGTACCCCTAAACAGATTCTGGCACCACTTGCAACAACATTCAGATATTCTGAGCTACGCATTTTTTATAGTATTACTGCTTAACTGTATAATGCCCTTTAGGACAAAATGAGAGTGCTCAAATACCAGTACACATAAAAGTTAAAATCATCAATCATCTTCATGTTCTAGAGCTCCCAACTTTTTGTATTTTAAAGTAAGAAACTATTCATTACCTCATCCAGAGGAGGTAGTTTTTTGAAGAGGTCACCGGGACCCTGCAATGTGTTTCAAACTAAAGCTAAATGATAGGTTTGCAAGAGGCTGGCAAGGTGGATGAGTGGAGAGTGGGGCCAGGTGGGATCTGAGAAGGGGTGTGCAGCAGTTGGGCAGTGCCTGATGAACACAAGAGAACACTGGGTGATACAGGAGCAGTGATGGCACCAAACGCAAATCTAGGAAATATTTACAAAGGTTCAGATTGACAGTGCCAAAGGCTTGAATTATTTATTTCTGTAATGTTCTTCTCCAACACCGACATAAATATACACATAAAATTTATATGCAGGTTATCTTCCAAGATGCCCCAGCACATCCTACCAGATCTCAATTACAATCAGGGATGGGATGTTCAGGAACCAGAATTTGACAGCTAGACAGAATCTTCTTTTAAGATGCACAAAAAGATGAACAATCACACTGGGCTTTCTATCCACAAATTGCTTTTATAACTACTTTTTTGGTCAGTATAATTTCAGTGACAAAAACCTAGTTCCTAGATTATAGTCTGATGATGAAAAAAAGTCCATCAGGAATACTATAAATTTAACAACAATCCTTTAGAGTTGCTCTGAAAGTTTTCTGAAGGCTTCACCTCTCCCTATTAAAAATAAAATACCCTACACAAAAGGCACTGCAGCCACTTTACAGACAAGACTGATTGATGCTACCTTACAAGATGATCAGCGAAGCAGCCACATACTGTCTATACTTACGTACTTACGTACAAATTACTTATAAAGTGCTTTGTACAAACAAGGATTTCTTTCCTTGTATTTTCTTAGGAGCTCAAGTCTACTTGTAGTCTAAGCATCAAAACATAAAGCAAATAAAACTTGAAGGAAATTCCTCTTCATGTCACTTGTAAACTAGAGAAAAAACTATTTGATGGGAAAAAGGAAAGTCTGAACATTTTACTTTTTCCAGGTCTCTACAAAAATCTCTAAATACCCTGAGCCTGGCTTCTGTGCACAGCTTCATTTGCTATCAAGTCTGCTCCCCTCTTTCCAATGAAATTGCAACCTATTCTAAAATGAGAGGAAAACAAGAGTACCACCCTGAATTCTGTTTAGAAAACACGAATGCGAAGCTTCCTTCCTACCCATGCTGGCTGCCGCCCTGTTGAGGTATCCCGGACTGAGGAATGCCTGGCAGGCTGTACCTGCGCGGCAAAACATGAAATGCACTCCTGTTGTTCAAGGCCAGCTTTTTCAACCCAGGGGGACTCAGAGCCACATTTAGTAAAGCGAACACAGCCATGTTGAAAAGCATCTACAAAGACATATTTAAAAAATAAATAAAAATAAATAACCAATGCTCTGTAAAGAGAGGCAGCATTATGCACAGAATCAACATGAATGACTTCTGCTTTTGCATTTCTGAATTTTATAAGAAACTGCTCTGTTCAAATAAGACTTAAAAATACACTAGTTTCAATCTGATTAGTAACTTCAGGATAGTGTCCATTCTAATGGGACAAACTTTTACAAATCCAAGAAATTTTCAGTAGACCTTCCTCTAAATACAGGTATTCATCTAATGGTGGTAAGCTTTCAGTCAGCTAAAGGACTGTGGGGCTAGGAGTTACAATATAAACTTTCAAAATAATAACTTCTAATTTCTCGATTTACTTTAGATCCTATCTAATTTCCTTCAGGTCCTTGGCTACAGCTTGGTTAGGCTAAGTACATCTGATTTAATTTATATACCTAAATCCTAGTCTAGACTCCTGATGAAAGAGGTATTTGCCATTAATAGATCCTGAGTCGCTTTCTTTGATACTACTGTGATTTATACTGTCCTTTAATAAAGGCCAGGGGAAACTAAGACAAGGTTATATTTCCATTTGTGCAAAGATAAGGTTTATGTTCTTAAGACCACAGCAGCTCATTCTATGAAAACAACTGATAACAGGCTTTGCAAACCCTCCCTCAGTCCCAAATCCCTAAAAATTGCTCTATCCTCTCCTTGGGGATCTCAAGTGACAAATTACATAACCTTTTGAAGACCAGGCTTGGGAAAAAAGGAAGAAGGAGAATGAATGGAGACACCACCATTTTTATTTTAGTTGCATATTCTAGATAAAAGACTAGAAAGAGGATGTAGAATGTAATGTAGGAATAAGTTAGAAGAAACAATGAGATTATTAGCAAAGATGTTAGTGTGGATCCAGCAAGTACCATTAATTTAAAAATTATAAAGAATTGTCATTATGCTAAGACTCCCCATATTTAGGTAGAGAAAAGGCTAATGATCTTTCTTGAAAAGTTGTTTATATAACAAAAATATGATTTTCAGGTTATATAATTCTGGTGGGAAGTATTATTTTATTCAACTCAAATCTGAAAACTATTTTCTTTTTAATAAAAAATATAATAGAAGAAACTCAGAAATTAAAACCTGTACCTTACATTTAAATTACATAAATTTCTCACATTCAAAACTGTTACTAAGCAGTTTTGTAGGCTTTTAATTAGACACTGCCACAGCATTTTGTGCCCCAGACAAAGTAGCCATGTAAGTACTTGGTGATTGGAAGAGCTTAGGAGGAAGCTACAAACTGTGTTTTCCTGAGAATTTGCTACATTGTGGAGGGAAAAACCCCCAAGCACTTGTCTTCATTGCTGGACCCAGTGAGAAAAGAAGGCAATGTGTACCGGCACTCTCCAGCCTGCTGGGTTAGGGAAACCCTTAGTGCACAAGGACACAGACGGCCAGACACCCAGACGGTCGGGACAAAGATGCAGCATTTCCTTTTCCTCTATACCAAAATAGCTTCTCCTCACTTCTCATACTCCATTTATATAAAACAGCTTCATTTTGATAAAATTTATCAGACCCCTTGCATCACACAGAAAGGGCATGCTGCATTTTTGTTCCATCCCGCAGAAATTAACCGGTGGTGGCTAGGGAAAAGAGCTCCACAACAAAACCCCAGAACAGGAAAGAGAACGATGCTTGGTGATTGGAAATGCCCATCAGATGATCAGCCACACATTGATCTGGTGGTTAGAGGGCAAAGTTGACTGGCAGATTTTCCATAGCAAATCTCCCAAGCTGTAGCAGCAGTTTCTTTCCATCATGCCTGACCATCAAAAGGTCAGAATTCAGGGTCTCTCCTCTTTCTTGCTGGGAGTGGGCAGACTTGTATGCACGTGGTATTTGTGTTGAAGAAGAAACATTGGCAGCAGAGAATTCTGGTTCCTAAAACACTCTTCCCTCTTTTGTTGGATAGGAAATTCCATTCTGTTCCACACCAGCTTATGCATTGAAAATTCTGTATCTTTAAGAAAAGATTTGAGGAACAGAACTGTGTTGTGATGTTAACAAATCGTACAAACACAAGACTTAAGAAATAAGAGTAGATGCTGCCATGATGGTGTGGCTACTTGAAGGCTGCAAATTCTCCTGTAGAGGGAGGACAAGAGCTAATTTTAAAAAAAGTTATCTCAAATAGCCTAGCGACACAGAATAGCCTCATTTAACCCTCACTGAAAGTTGACTAGTTATATGACTAGCAACATCATAACTAATTTAATAGCAAAACTTGCCAAAACTCATGAAAGAACACAACCTATACAGTATGTCGAATATGGTTCAGCCTCATCAATTAAATATCAAACCTGGAGATAATTTTTCAGCTGAGTTTTATGTGACATGGTTCTGACTGTGCTGCAAACACTTCCAATGAACAAAATTTCTCAGAAACTGTAAAATAGTAATGTTTGTAGAATACTTCCCCCCTGAATTATCAGTTCATTTTCACCTAGCGTATGATGTTATTATAATGTCACTATCAGAAAGGAACAAAGAATTTTCCTAATTTTTAAAAAGATAAAAAATTACGAAGTCAAATGATTTGTCCATATCACATGTCTGAGAGAAGGAAGGAAAATCCTTCATTTTCTCACTAATTTCACTTTTCAAACTATCCAAAAATTAAGTAGCGGTAAATGCCACTGAATGCAATTATTAACATAAGGAATTGGTTAAACCATAAAGTCCCTTTAGGGAACCACACCACTTTAGTTTATTAAATTTGAGGGCTTCAATGCCATGATTTTTTGTCTACCATTTCGTTCATAATATCTACCTGTAACTAAAGGCCAATTCCTATCATATATAGTATAGTTAACTTCTATGGGTTGGTTCATAACTGAAACTATCAGAATTTAGTCAGGCATAACATTACTATTCAACAGTAGCTTCCAAGCAATCATTTATATGAATACATGAATTCATCCAGGAATAGCCTATCCAATTTCTGATTGCTATTAGCCAAGTGGTTGCTAGATAACACTGAATGTCTGAAACAACAGATTTCTAATGGCTGACTGAATCTTTAGCTTTTCATGCTGAAAATACCAGCATTTTATTTTAATGCCTGATACAAACCAGTGTCTCACTGAACATTTACACACATTTGCATATGTGATCTCCATAAAAAGCTTCTGAGGCAGATGCTATTACTTATCCATATTTTACAGATGAGCAAGCTGGGGTTGAGAGTGGTCAAGTAACATGCAGGAGACCACACAGCTAGAGAACTGTAGAGCTGAAATGCAAACCCAGATGCTGACTCCAAAGCCTAGGGGTCTTAATTAGCAAGCCCCTGCACAATTTTTGATTATTAACAATTTGTTTTCCCACTTTGAATCCAACTGCAAATAATCATATTCTCTCTTTCCATCCAAAGACTCTTTTAATGAGCAATTGTCCAAGGTACTGTGAGTAAAAGATCAAGGATGGAGAAAAGAACCATTACTTCATATTTATAGTAAAAAGGATTGGCACTGATCTGAAACAAAAACTCCAAACTAAAACCCTAAATTACTAAGGCCTTGGAGAGTAAAACGTCATGTAGAACACAATCATAGAGGGCTATTATGTTAACACAGACTCTGGAAATACATAAACATTCTCATCATTGCTTATAGTTTGAGTATGTTATGGTTTTAAGGTTTAAGTATTTTAACATATTTCTTTATAATGATTTGCAGCATTCTTTTGAGTAATCACTTATCTCCTAGAATCTAAATCTTATTAAGGGAAGCCAATGTGAAAATAAGGTCTACATAACAGAAATCTTTATAAAAATGGCTAGAATTCATCTAAGGAATAGCAGAAAATGATAAAATCTAACCCAAACCTTATAAACTACATTAAGAAAAAATGAATGTTTTCTGTTCCTTACAAGCAACTAAACATTTCATTTTGTTGAACAGTGTTATCTTCTGCAAATTTAAATACATGCCTTAAAAACATAAACTTGCAAAGAACAAAATCTTATCAATAAACTCCAAATCAAGAACAGAAAACACTAAAGAACATCCTAACATAAGCATACTGCTTCTAATAGAATTCAGTTTTATTTTTATGATCAGACTTTGGGGCCAAGAATTAAAAGAGACAAAAAGGATTAATTGTTCATGACCCATGAAACAAAACTCTTTTCATAAATATCTCTGAAATTGTGGAGAATTTGAAGGAAAAGATCAGAGTAACAGTGTATGGTTCTGCTTTGGGGAAACACACACACACACATACACACAACTTTTCTTTTTTGCGTATCTGGAATCTCTCCTATTCCACCACCCATCACTTTACTTGAAGTAAGAGCCAACTCTACTTGTGTGAAGTTAAGGTGAGACACCTAGATACTGAGTTTTTGGAATTCTTGCTCTATTAACTTAAATAACTAATCAGTCATTTAGAGGCCCTTGCATTCTTTCCTCTCCTTTCTGGTTGAGGATAACCTAAGCTCTGTCTTCCATCTGATGTTATTTAGGAATAGAGCAGAGAATATTTGGGAGGACTTAAAAAAAAAAACCAAAAACACAAAAAAGCATGACCCTATAGTTTTAGACACTTCAAATACCATGGTTTAAAAATATTACTAATTACTTTTTGTTCAAGATTTAAATGTATTTCGATGGCTATTATGCAGGCGTGTGCTACATTAATGACCTCTGAGTCAACAACGGACCGTATATACAACAGTGGCTGTACAAGCAACACAGACTATACCACATTACCGACACGTGCAATAGGCTATACCACATAGGTTTGTGCAAGAACACTATGATGTTCATACAATGATGAAATTGTCTAATGCATTTCTGTCTTGAGCAATGCATGCCTGTACCTGTAATTTAATAAAATCCCTTCAAGATGAAAATATGCTATGAAAATTTTAATAGTTTTTTTCTTTTTTTAGGTTTTTGCCATAGGGTGTGTGCACATACCCAGAATAATTTTCAAGTTGCTGGGTCTGGGACACAAACTGTGCTTGGCCATGTGGAAGTCTAGTGCCTTAATCACCACATCACCTGCTGGCTCCAATAGGCTCTTTCTTTTTTGGGGAGGTAAGAATTATTATTTGTTTTTAAATTTTATTTGTCATTATTATTTATGTTTAATTTGACCAGAGAGAGAGAGAGAAGGAGAAAGTGAGAAAGGAAGTCACCAGGTCCAGGACTCGAACTGCCTCAAAAGGTTATTTTTTACACAAGTGTTATCACTATTTTTTTTAAAAAAAGATTTAATTTGATTAATTATTATTATTTTAGAATTTGACTAGAGAGAGACAGAAAG